TCAGCAGTACCTCATGATCAGCAGTGTCAAAGGCAGCTGATAGATTGAGTAGTATCAGCTTGATTGAGTCACCTCAGTCCAACTCCATGAGGAGCCCCGAAACCCCATTGCTGCTTCATTACCAGACTCTGCTAGGAAGTCAGGCTGGGAGAGTCCACATTTTCTGCTGAGGTTGTGTTGCTGGAGTTGATTTATCATTATTTTCTTGAATCTTGCCAAGGTTTGAAATGGGATGGTAGTTAGTCAGGTCACTAGCGTCAAGTATTGGTTTCTTGAGCAGTTTCAGGTTTACGTATTTTCTAATTGCACTCCTCATCCCGTGCAATGACACTTGGTCTTAAAATAAGAGTAGAGCCAAAAAGTATAGAAAATAAAATCTCAGTGGGCATTCTGTTGCTCTTGGGAAGGATAGTGAATTCTCTGCACTTCAGCACAGCTAGGGACACTAGCAAACCTCCAGAGAGAAAAGGCTGCTTGTTTCTCTCTCCTTCTATTTTCATCTTAACACCTCCATTGTTTGTAATGAGCACTGCCATAGAGGGAAACGATACTACAGAAGAGAAGGATCTGACCTCTGTGGGACTGGATCCAATCCAAGTTTGAAGGTGGAGGTACCCAGGGTCTGGTAAGCATCTAGAAGCTGTATTTTAATGGCATAAAATTTCTGGGGGTGATAAGTGAGTGTGATCTCTTCTGGGGTTGGCTGGCTATTTGTTTTTAATGAGTATTTCATCCCTTGGTTTCTAATCTGAGATGTGACAGGTGCTAAAGAATGCTCTAAATTATGCTTAGCTTTGAGCTTCTCTAGCAGCTAGAGATCGGTAGCATGCGCTCACCCCCTGGCAATGTACCCTGTACCAGGGCAGGATGGAAGGGAGTGGCACAGAGCTGCTGCATTGGCTCTATGCCGGCCTGGGCTTTCCTGTATTCAAGAGGAATCCTGAAGGATGTGAAGGGATATAAAGCAGCTAAGGTGTAACATAGGATCACTGTCTTTAATAGTGACCTAGGGCCCAATCTAACTCTTGTATTAAAGTAGTGCTAGGTACTGTACAGACAAATAGTATGTGACTATCTCTGCCTTGAAGGGTTTACAGTCTAAATAGACAAGACAAAGGTTGCAAGAAGGGAAGGATTATTATCCACTGACTTTGCTCGGGGTTAGATCAGGCTATTACTGATGAGTAGAAAATCTTAATTTCTCAACATTTAAAAGGACATAGACTTAACAGAAATCATGGGGCCTGATTCGTCACCCTGTTACCTGGGTGTTATGCCCGCAGGGCCGGCTCTGGCTTTTTTGCCGCCCAAGGCAAAAAAGCCTCCCGCCGCCCCCAACCCCGTGCGGCTCCGCTCTCCCGGACCGGCTGGAGTGCCGGGGGGAGGGTGGCGAGCCCGCCGCAGCTCCGCTCTCCCCGGCAGCCAGAGCGCCGGGAGGAGGGCGGAGAGCCCGCCGCGGCTCCGCTCTCCCCGGCGGCCAGAGAGCCCGCCGCGGCTCCGCTCTCCCTGGCGGCCAGAGCGCCGGGGGGAGGGCGGCGAGCTGGCCGGGGCTCCGCTCTCCCCGGCGGCCGGAGCGCTGCGCCGCCCCCCTTTAGGTGCCGCTCGAAGCACAAGCTTGGTGGGCTGGTGCCTGGAGCCAGCCCTGTATGCCAGTGACATTCCCCTGAAGTCAGGGTAATTGTATTAGCATAACATCAGTGTTTAGAGAGATGATAAGCAGGTCTTACATATTTTATGAATGGTTTTCCTAACCTGTGTTGCTAATTACACTAAATGATTGAACCTGAAAGAATTTTTAAAATGTAATTTACTTTTCACTATTAATGTGATTTGTTTACTTTTTACTCTTCGTTGAACTTGGTCAGTAAAAATAGATTGGGCCATTAAGTTTTGCTTAAGTCACTTCAGTTCCCTGTTTCCCTTCCCACCCTTTATCTGTCCTATCTATTTAGACTGTAAGTTCTTTGGGGCAGGCTGTCTTTCTCTTATGTGTATGTACAATGCCCAGCACAATAGGCTCTTGACCTCCTTTGACGCCTTTAATACTAATAATATTACTCGTATTGTGATTCCAGGGAAGTTCATGTTAAAACAAACAAAATAACAAAGTTTTCCATTAAGATGTAACTGATGTAATAAGATGTTGCTTTGCTTTTTAATGTCAATTATTCTCCATGGTTTCAGCCTTCAGAACCAGAGCTTGGCCCAACCCTCAGACCACCACTGTAGATCCCCCACTTCTCCAAAGTTTGAGTTTTTTGGATTTGGGGATTTTAGATTCTGCTCATCATAAAAGAGTCAACTGTGAAGTTTGAATCTGGATCCAAACTTCCCTAAAGTTCAGAGGTGATTGGGTCCAAACCAGAACCTTGCATCCACATCTCAATTAACTAATTAACATTTTTTATAGAAGAAGAAAAGCTCTAATTTAAAAATAATTACAGTTGGTATGAAATATCTAGTCTCCAGCCAAACATAACTCTCACTGGAGTTACATGGAGGATGAATTTGATCTACTAGACTGTCAGCTTCTACTGATCATCAAACACATTTAAGTTTTGGAAAACCTTTCTTCCCCTTGTAGGAAAACCTAAATTTTAGGCTTAAACCATACTTGACAGTGTCACTTTAAGCCAAATATTTAACAGTCAAAGATTTACAGTTATTTTCAGTTTACAGCACGATGGAAACTGAATTAGTCTCCAGCTATGACTCCTATCCTGGTTGCTGTAGTTTATTCTGTTGAGTTTTTGTTAATACAGTATGCCGGTCATGCTCATATTTCGTTGGGGGTGGTGTGTGTGTGATTCTTAGTACACAAAGAACCTGTGCATTGGGTGACAGTTTGTTTTCATCCAGTTTCTACTCTTTGTTCTATAAAGACCTCAGTATGTCTGAACATCCCTGGTTTAACATAGGAAGGAATTTGACTTCGCATGGCTGATACTCAAAGTGTTTGTGAGAACTGTTAATCTTTGATCAATCTGAGTTTCCTTGTTACTGACTTTGATTACACAAGTGTATGTGAAAGCCAGCTTTAATTATAGCTTTTAATAAGTTTTCATTTCTACTCAGTCAATCTCATACAGTATGTGCAGCTTTTTTCCCTCCCTGGAAGCAGGGGCCTGGTATTGTCTCCCTGGGATCTGAGTGCAGAGAAGATCCTGCTGTATGCAGAACTCTATCTGCATGGACTGTACATCCAAATTACTGTCCTCTCCCATCCTCTTCAGCATTGCATGCAAGGAGCCAGGCCTGTATTGGTTCTGGGGCCAGTGGACAGAGGGGGAAGATGGGGCTTAGAGGGGCTAGATACACCATGCAGGTTGTCTGCTGCAAGAAACAATTGGACAGTCCTCTGAAAAGTTGTTGCAGCTTGAGGCTATATCAGCTGTTATGTGTAGCCCCTATATCTGACACCTTTTTATTGGCTGCTTTTCCCTCCCTCCTCCACTTTTGCTCCCTTGGCATGCAATTTTCTCTCTTGTTGCAGACTAATGAATGCCAAATTCAGTGCAAGTTATACTACTTTACCACTTATACCTATTTTCTGATCAACTTGTGCCCATTGCTGAATTTCACCCAATAGGATGAGGGCCAGCTCCAGGGGTATGCAGTGGCAGCTTTGTGACACTCCAGCTCGATGGCCAATCTGTGTCATCAAAGTGGCACAACATACTGGAGAATTTGGCCCCACATTGTTGAAAGTATGCCTTTCTCACTATTCAAGAAGCTAACTAGGAAATTTCAGGCTCTCTCTGGTGTGCAGTTTGTGTTTGTTTTTGTTTTTTTACCATTCTCTATAGAAGCCGAAGGGTTCACGAAGTTTGGAACAAATGGCTATTTATCAAATAAATGATATGATAATGAGAAGTCTCTCTAAATATCATCCCACCTTTGTAAACTCAAGAACAAAAGATTTGTCATGCTGGTAAATCTAGTATCCTACTTCCTGGTCAATGCCCTAAGCCAGCTGTGGAAAGCTGTAAAGGGGCAAGGGTTAGATTTCTTTCCTGTCCCTTGCAGTGGTCACCTTGTGCCACGTTGCACATACTGGTATGTTTCATTTCTGTAGTGCCAGTCATCTAAAGGACCACAAGCACTTTACAAACTATGGGCTAACATGTTATATATCAAGCCAAACCCTTAACGTGCAGCTGTGCTTAGCTCTCCACTCTCACTGATTATTCTACCTAGGAGCACAGATAAGTCCCTATTGCTAGCTCAGGGCACACCTACCCATAAGCAGGCAGATCCTGCATCTCACCTGCAGGACCAGCCTTGGAGCAGCGGTGTGTGTCTGCACGTTTTGAAGTGGAGTTCTTTTAAACTGGCCCTCTTTAAAGCAGCTTTTCAGTTGTTCAAACATACTGCGGAAGTTGCCCTCCGATACGGAACAAAACTATGGGCTCATTTTGTGAGCTGGATTCGAACCGGCACACTAGAAGTGAAAATCTTTGCCTCCCATTACCCAGAGCCGTCTGTTTCCCTGACTGATGATTGCTTTATCCTTAAACGTATGTCTACGTTGCAGCTGGGAGTGAGCATCTCAGCCTGGGTAGACAGGCCTGCACTAACAGGGCTCAAGTTATCATGCTAATAATAGCAGTGTGGATGTTGCTGCACTGGTGCTAGCCACCTGATCAGGTGAGTCTGAGCTTGGGTGGCTAGCCTGAGCCTCTGCCAGTGCAGCAACATCCACGCTGCTATTTTTAGCATGATAGCTTGAGCCCTGTTAGCACAGGTCTGTCTACCTGGGCTGGGACACTTGCTCCCAGCTGCAGTATAGACATACCCTCAGTGTCTAATCTTCTCATGACTCTTACTACTCTGCCCGTGACACCCTGTGGCAGTAAGTGCCTCAGGTTAATGCGTACAATGTGTCTGGTGAAAGTATTTCCGCTCGTCCATTTTTAATTAACCCCACGTCCCCTTCTTTCCATTACTTGTTCAGGGAGACCAAAGCAATCTCTTACTCTCTGCTCTTTTCCTCCTGGCAGACTTGGAGACCAGTTCTACAAAGAAGCCATCGAGCACTGCCGCAGCTACAACTCTCGGCTGTGCGCCGAGCGCAGCGTCCGCCTCCCCTTCCTGGATTCGCAGACTGGGGTAGCTCAGAACAACTGCTACATCTGGATGGAGAAGAGGCATCGGGGACCAGGTAGGCAGCTATGTGTGTATGGAGGGCAGGCCGCTGAGCCCTCATGGGGTTTAATTACTAAAAACTCAAACCTGTTAAGCGCCACACACATAGGAGAAGTTGCCTAAACCGCTGGGCCTGGAGGGGATTCCCTTTGGTAACTGCAGAGAGCAGATCCTACTTATTATTTCTATTGCTTGACATAGTTTCTAATGCTGCATCATCACAGCTCCTTTATTGCTATTGATCTGAGTTAGTTGCATAATAGAGGACCTCTACCCAAGAGAGCCTTGGAAATATTTTAAAGGAGGGAAGACTCTCTCACTAACCTTATTTCTCAATAGGAAACATAAATTTAGGGAGAGTCTTATCTTCTGAAATTCACTTGTGATTAGAGCAGGGGACCAGGAGTCAAGAGATCTAGATTCTGTTCCCAGCTCTGCCTTAGACAGATCACTTGGTCTTCACCTCTGTGTCTCAGTTTTCCATCTGTGAAAGGAGGATAAATGTTCTCATAAATATGTTACAAAGGCAATATGGGCCTGATCCAAAGTCCACTGAAAAAGACCTCCATTGACTTCAATGGGCTTTCGATCAGGTTCTAATTCATTAATGTTTGTAGAACAGATTGAGATCCTCGCATGGAAGTTAAAGTATTATTGTTGGGTCAACCCTAAGCACCCTACTGTAACAAAACTCCCACTGAAGCCATTGAGAATGTAGCCAGATGCATTATTTGTTGAGAGAATGGAATTTTTGACACTTTGATCTATGCCAAGTTGTTTGGTTTGTTTTTTTTCAATATTTGGGACAAAGACCCAAAATAAGAGGGGAACACCCAAAATTTACAGTGAAGGGTTGATTATCCAAGTGCCTTGGTGGGAAGTGTACACACTTATAAATAATTGGGGTTCTGGATAACTGACGTTCTCAGTTCAATAGACATTGGATGATATAGCTCTGTTTTGGATATTTGATGGTTGGATAAGGAGGTTGCACCCTCTCCTTAACTAACATGTGATGCATTTTAGAGCCAAAATAGCATTTTGTATAATTTGTGATTTATGGGTTTCCTTTTTGCGTAAATCATTTACAGTAAGCAAAAATGAAATCATACCAAGATGGCGGCGGCGGTGGTGGTGGTGGTGGCCTGGGGCAGAAGAGGTAAATGTGGGTCTCTCATGAGGAATGTGATTTCTAATAAGGGACCGCATCTATGTGTGCAGTACTAGCGCCATGTCCTGCTTATTTACTCTTGTGAGTAGTCCCGTGGAAGTCAACGGGCCTACTTGTAGAAGTAAGGTGAGTGGGCTTTGGTTCTTGGGGTTTGCAGCTGTGGAGGGAGCAGACTGGTTATGTTCAGATCAAACTCCGTAGTGATGCTTTTGCAAATGAGAATAGTGGCAGAAAGCAGATTGTGTTCCCTCATTTTAGCCCCACTTTTTTGCATGTGTTTCAGCAAACCTATCGAGGTGCTTAAATGGCTATAGAATCTGAATGTCTCAAGTGTTTAAGAAGAGAAATAACAATCTCTCACTCTTTCTTCCTTCCTAGCCTCTGGGAGAAATGCCTGGACTAGTTTCTAGCTCTTGGTTTCTGTGTGTGTTCATGTGCATTTTGTATGGGTGCAGGTTGAGGGAAAGCTAAGTCCAAGATATGTTTTTGTGTCTAGTTTTATTTGTGGGGAGGTCCTTGGTCATTCTTATTTCTTGTGGTAGACAGTTCCACAGTCTTGGGATGGTGCAACCTGTTCTTTTCTCTGTGACTGGCCAGGTGGAGTCATAGCTGGCCCAGGGGCATACGGAGGAAACAGTTCCTACATTCCATCAAGTTCAGGGACTGGAATTTTCCCTGGCCATTTCACAGGGCACAGAATGGGGGAAGGCATCTTACACTGTTCCCCACCTGCACACCAGGACTCAGGGCTTGTGTGTACATAAATATTAACCCAGAATAAGGTAGCATATGAATTTAAAGTAGATTAACTATTCCCAATTAATTCCATGTGTGGATGCTTTTATTCTGGAATAAGATTGCCTTATTCTAAATTAGTTTACTCCATTTTGGTAGTAGATTAAACTAATTCGGAATGAGGTGCTCTCATTCCAGGGTCAGAGCATCCACACATGGAATTCATGGGGAATGGCTATTCCAGCATAACACCTCCCGCCGCACCCCCACCCAATGTAAACAAGTCCTGAGGCTAGGGTCGGCCCTAATTAGTTAAACCTCACAATACCCAAAGTAAGACCAGCTCTAAGTAAAGGATACGTGGGAGTCACTTCACCGATCACTGAAATGCAGCCACTCCTGGTGTGGGATGTAGAAGCTGTGTTATTAGTGCACAGCAACACTACATTATCATTTAGGATACGTTCTGAAGGATGGTAATACCTTATCCACGCGAAACTGCAGGGGGAGTTTGGGTAGGCAGAATGTAGTTACCTGAGCTGGAATTCGTCTAGGTCTTTGGGGACCTTCCTTCACGAAAAGTCTCCTGGGATCTTTAGTGACCACTGTTGGTTTTGTTTCATCTGAAAGCTCCCTGTTCCAGGGAGATTATGCTTTGGCAAAACAAGCTAATTTTTGCTTTTTCTTGTTGTTATTAATGTATTTACCCCAAGAACTTCTGTTCCTGCAGCATCTGATTATGAGTGAGATACTGCTATTTTTATCGATTTGAACTCACTCACACACATAAGCAGGTATACATTTATTATACGTAGAAGCCAGATGTTGGAGGGAGCATATGCTACAAGGATGGCACAAGGCAGCCTTGTACCAGACACACTTATGGGAGGAATCATTGTCTAGTGTTTAAAGCACAGGGCCAGGAGAGCTGGGTTCTTTGGCCAGGTTTGTAACTAACTCACTGTTATCTTGGGCAAATTTGTCAACCTTAGTCCTACTTGCATCACGGTGCCTCAGTTTCCCTGTCTATGAAATGGAGATAGTAGAGTTTCCCTTTCTTACAGGGTGAGTTGAGGTGTGGTGAGGACTGATTAGTGGCAAGACATGTTTAGGTTAGAATTTAAATAGGCTGAAACCTCCTGTATCTGCATCAGCGACCAAACCCGAGGTCTTTTTTATTTAAACTATAATGATTTAGAAAGAAACCAAGAATCCCTCCTCCCCCATATTCGCTGTTCCTTGATGTGATTAGCTCATTTAGAGCTCCCTTGGGTCTCTCTGTACCATCCATCTCTTGTAGCCCCATTGTGACAGGACACAGCATCTATCTGTGGTGGGAGCATTGCCATTTCCAGGCTGCACATAGTGTGCTGTGGCAATCTTAAACCAATGAGAATTCTCCACCAGCCACTCTGGTGTCTGGATTGTATGCACCCCTTTGCTTTGTTACTGACCTTCACTTCCCCCATCTCTAACCTGAAGCAGGCAAACGGAAAAGATCCAGAACCTCCTTTCACTTACACAAGGTTTAAAAGGGGGAGAGGAGAGTCAGATGCCCCATGGATAAACTTGGTTTCTTACAGCCCTCTTGTAAAGGAGTCAGAAGGCTGCCTCTCGCGACACAGTTCAGGGTTAATTTCACACAATACTGCACATAACTCCCTCCCTCTTTTCCCTTCCTCCCCCAGCCTTTCATGCAAGCTTTGAATTATGACTCTCCTACACTAATGAGATAAACAACATAACTCACTGCAGGTCCTGCTATTTCCTCTATAAGCAAATGGTTGGAACCTTTTGTGGTTGCCCTATAAGGCACAGCAGTGCAAGACAACCCAGCAAGTACTAGAGAGGGCAAGAACTGTACATATTTTACCGTGGGCACAGGCAGAGTCAGAGTAGGGGAGGTAGGTTCAAAGCAGATGTAAAAGGCCCTCTCTTGCCACCTCCTCCACAAAAATGACCAAAGGTTCACACTTTACTTGTGTCATCGTGTTGATAGATTGGTGGTCGGGGGGTGGAGGACAATGGTGTAAATCTTCCCTCTTGAAAATGGTATCAAACCTGTTTGGATCAAGTGAAAGTTTGTTTAGTGGCTCGCTGAACACTGCTGAGCGGGGATTTATTGAATAGCAGAGGAGAGCTCCCCTCAAAAGGTTCATAGGGTCAGTTTGGAGGCCTGCAGGAGCTTATCTGAGTCCATCTGGTGTCGGATTGGGCTGGAGGCCTTCCTACAATATTTCTGTAACTTCCTGATTCCAGCTGAGTTTGTAGTATTTTGGTGTTTGTGATTCACCATCTTTGCTGGAGCCTAGAAGTGCCAATTTGTGAGAGACCGAGAAAAAATAGAACAAAAGCTTTTTTTTTTTTTAGATTTGAAAAGTTAGGTTTTGGGTTAAAGCTCAGGTGCAGGATTTTACCCAGATCCCCCATCCCAAGGGGACAGGTCAAGGAGCCTGATTCTCCTCTCACACAATTTTTTACACCAGAGTAAGGCTGGGAATGCCCCTGCACAGGGCATGTTTGTGAGAGGATTAGAGTCCTTGTATGCTCCCCCACAATGACCCACAGCCAGTCACAATATATACCTTAATAATAGCAATTTAAATACTAGTTAAGGTTTGTAAAGTGCCTGGAAGAAGTATATCAAGCACTACGGAAGAGCTAGGTAATTCACAGTGTTTTTCCTTCCAAAGCCGGTCATAGACTATACACAACCCACTGAAATGCAGCATTCTCTGAGGTAGGGTGTTAACAACTGTTGCACTGCATAACAGGGAAGGGAAATTGTTGCTAAGACCACCTGAGCCAATCCCCATTCTTCCAGAAGGTGTCAATCCATGCAGGGCAGACAAGAACTTTATTTTCAGGATCTCCTCCAAAAGCTTCTCCCATCCCACAGTAAATTTCTTGATGCTCAGTTTATCTGCCTCAAGAGGATAAAGGGTGGCTCAACCCTGCTGGGATTTGAACTTTATTTTCTGGGAGTCTCCATATTTCAAACTGAAGACTTAGGCTGAACTTGCCAAATTTGATTTGCTTATTCTTTTGGGGTGAGCAATTGGATGGCCCAGTTTTCACAAGTAAGTAGGGTGTCAGTTTTTTTCATTATCATCATCTGGTTTGGGGAGTAGATTTTGTTCCTGGTTTGGTGAATGTTCTTTGCTGTTGTGCCAGGCTGGCTTAGACCGCTCAGCTATCATCATATGGTAGGATTGTTCTGCATTATTGACATGGGTTTGATATTGTCAAGTTGTTCAAAAATGACCATTTGTGTCCACGGTGTCAAAGCCATTCCCATCCTATCTATTATAATTTTTTTTTTTAATGTGGAGCTCTGGTTGCAGAGAACCCCTGCACAGAGTGAAATATGTTAGTGAGACGTGTGGCTTCTCCGTAGGGTTGATCCTGCAAGATGCTGAGCTGCTTCTGGGATGCCGAATACCTTCAGTTGAGCTGCTTCTCACCTTGCAGGATTGAACCCTATAGTATGGTAATACTGGCTATGGAGAAACAGAGATGCTAGAGAAAATAATGGGGATTTACAAATGCGAATGTGACCACATTTATTTTTTGCTTTTAACCCACAGGACTGGCCCCAGGTCAGCTGTACACATATCCTGCTCGCTGCTGGCGCAAAAAGAGACGCTTACATCCTCCTGAGGACTCCAGGCTGAAGCTTCTGGAAATTAAACCTGGTACGTGTTTTGTGTTTCTTTCTCACTTTCTCTCTCCTCTGTGTTGCATTCACTGAGGTGTCATGGATCAAGTGAAGACTGGCATATGCACAGCACTGGCGTTTAGTCTCTGGACTCTGTCTTTGCCTGTCTCCTTCTTTTTCTCTTTGAGATTTTATCAAGTCCATTGCATTATTCTTTTTTTAGAAAATAAAAGAAATACAAGTCTGCAGGTCAAATTCATCCCTGGGATAAGTGGGTGTAACTCTTATTGAAACCAACAGGAGCTGAACCCACTTACATGAATCTTGTCTTCCATTCATAAGGATATAACGGGACAAGTAGGTTTCAGTTATCATAAGAACAGCCATACTGAGTCAGACCAAAGGTCCATCCAGCCCAGTATCCTGTCTCCCGACAGTGGCCAGTGCCAGGTGCCCCAGAGGAAATCAAGTGATCCATCCCCTGTCACCCATTCCCAGCTTCTGGCAAACTGTGGCTAGGGTCACCATCCCTGCCCATCCTGGCTAAAAGCCATTGATGGACCTATCCTCCATGAACATATCTAGTTCTTTTTTGAACCCTAGTATAGTGATCTCCAAAGTGTTAGTAACATGAAGCTTCACTATGGCATCTGTTGTGAAATCTTTGCTAGGAAGAGGGGTGAGACCACTGATCTGTGTGCAGAATAGTGCATTGATAAGTTTATGTAGTGCCTAGCACAATAGGTGCTACTGCAATATAAATAGTTAATCATAACAGTTAGTGAGGATGTGGCACATTGTGTGTGTGTTTTAGTCCCCTCGATTTTCACCCTTGCTATCCTTGGTGCTCCTCCCCACCACTAAACTAATTTGAAATGGAGAGTCTGGATGCTGAATGAGTTATTGTAAAGCAGATGTGGAGGATCAGCAGCTGTGTCCGATAGAGTGCAGTGTGGTGCATTCCTCGATGCAGTAAGTAATAAAGGCGTACTGTCTTTAGGGTCATAAATGTATGAGAAAGAGGGAACACACTGGGAGCTGTATGTGGTTTTCAAGAGGAGAGACACAGCCAGTATAAAACACGCACCCTCAACCAAAAATATAAATTAACAAAATATTAAAAAATGTTTGGCAGCAGAAGGTGTCTGGGAACTGAGTGGTGAGCAACAATACCAGGGAATTGGTTTTAGTGCAGTCATTTGTGGAGTAGGAGGTAGAAAAGATGCAGAGCCAAGTCTTGACTCCAGGGAGGTCAGAGGCAAAATTCTTGTTGACTTCAGTGAGACCAGGTTTTGGCTCATTATCCCCATGATAGCAGAGGTTATTAATAAGATGGGTAAAAGGAAGGAAATACTGTAATTGCCAAATAAGGGTTACAAACCATGGACAAAATCAAGACCAGGGGACTGATCGTGATCTTACGCCAGTGTAAAGGAGAAATTACTCTATTGTAATAAAATCATAATGATAATACAATATACTTTTGCACTGTATAGCACTTTTCATCTGTAGAGGTCAAAAAACAGGACCATGTCTCAGCCAATTGCATTTGGTAATCGAAAAGGTTAATGATTAAAAGAAATACATTCAATACAAGCCCCCTTTAGTGTGAAAGGCAATTGCATTAAAGTATTTTCTCGGTCATTTTTTAGTTCCATACTAATGTGAACATTTCACAAAAATCTCTCTGATAATTAACAATGCTCTTAGTGTCCAGCGCTGTGCCTGTGGAATTTAGTTTGTGAAATATTTTCATTTAACAGTAATTATCGTCTTCACATCTTGTGATCTAACTCCTAAATAGCTGTTGCTACAGCAACCTTTGGACAACCACCTCTGTTTGGCCATTGTAGACTGGGACAGTTGCATGGGTAGCTATAATAAAATCATGTGATCAACAGTCTAGCAATTTTTATGTTAATACTAATTATGAAAACCCAGCCATTCTGTCACATAGACCATGCGGCAGAAATAAAGTACTACATAAGTTCTTTTGCAGTAGCTACTTAAAGTGACAATATAGCCACCATTATCACTTTGTATTACCAGGCAATTATGAATTACACTAAATATTTATGACATTTAATTTCACATGTGCTGGACTCCATCTTTCAATGGTACTTTCATATCTTAAGAAATAAGCATTAGGGCTCATGGAAATAAATCACTGCGTCTGTGTATGAATGCACATGGATCTTTATAGGCAATGTATAGCGCCCTTCATCCAAACACTTCAAATCCTCTTACTTACATTACACCTGATCCTGAAGGTTGCTTATCATAGCCCAGGAGTTCAGTGCCTCTCAGGATTGGGGGCATTAAATGGACAGTCAAGTTAAAAATCATATATTTTCAAAAGACAGTTTTAGTATTTTTATTATTTTTGTTCTGATAGGGACTATAGACCCAACCAAGAGCTAGAGCCCCATTCTGCTAGGCACTGCACAACTACGTAGCAGGGAACTTACTCATACAGAGATTAAATGACTGGCCCATGGTCACACAATAGGTATGTGGCAAAGCCGGAAACTGAACCAAGAACAGAACCCACATCTCCTTAGTCCCAGTCCAGTGCCTTAGCCACAAGATCATCTTTGTCTCAATTTTCCTTACCTGTGTTTCAAATAACATCCTTGATTATTAGAGCTGAAAAAAAGTCAAATCTACTTTTCACTATGTAGACTGTTTCCTTTTAGCATTTCTCTCAGCTTGGCCAATTAAAATAGGTTAATAAGTTTCATCATTGGTTCCAGTCATTTTCTAGTCAGTTACACTCTTTGTTCTCATACAGTAGTGCAAGACTGCAATGTGTCACTTACAAATAGGGCCGGCTCCAGGCACCAGCTTCTCAAGCAGGTGCTTGGGGCGGCCACTTGGGAGAGGGGCGGCAGGTACAGGTATTCGGCGGCAATTCGGTGGACGGTCCCTCACTCCGGCTCGGAGTGAAGGACCTCCCGCCGAATTGCCGTTGCAGATCGCGGCCGCGGTCTTTTTTTTTTTTTGGTTTTGGCTGCTTGGGGCGGCCAAAACCCTGGAGCCGGCCCTGCTTACAAATGTCGGAGGGAAAAGTTTGTTTATAAAATGTTTTATCTAACGTTTAAAAAAAATCATGGAAACTGTAATGTATTCCATAATTGCCTTTGAGTTTCTGCTATATTACAAACCCCAAAATCTGCAAAAAGGATTATATTGGAATCAAAATTGGTAGGTTAGATCTGTGGCTAAATTAGAACATTTCTGTAAAAGTTAAAGTGAATTGAGCAAGGTGCACTGGAACTATGAGACCCTAAAAATTGTTGTTTATCAGAGTTCAAACCCCAGATATGTGCCTGCAGACTTAATTTCACCACAATGGTGTTTTTTGTGTAGGAATTGATCTTAGATTTTGTAAACATTATTGCAAATGTTAAATTTTGGCCCAAATTTGACCTGACAGCCAGAAGATGGTAATAACTTTGGATCTCTACTGACAGGGATGGAATTGACCTAAAGGTGAGGAATTCCATAACCCATTACCAATCCATGTTTTATTGGCAATATTCCCCCAAATCTTAAACTTAAAATATGTTTTTAAAATCTGCTTTTTATTCAATCACTTATGCATTTTTTTAAACAATGGAGGGTTTTATTCGTAACATACTCTCCAATGCTTAAAAATAACATTTTTTTCTAGTGGATTTCTTTTTTCCTTTTCCATATGATAGTCATTGGTTCCAGCCAGCCCTTACATTTGTTGCAGTATTTGAAATGAACCCTGCTTATTTCTGCTTACTTTCTTGTTCGGGCGTCTGTCTGCACAGATAACTGCTGCTGCAGGGCCAGCAGAGGGAGCAACAAATAACATGAGATTAGTGTGTGTAGGGACTCTGCTTTCACTTAAACAGATGTGAATTGGGAGTAACCCCTTTGAAGTTAGTGGAGTTGCATGAGTATAACCCTTGTATGAGAAGAATTAAGCCCATTATAAAAGCAGCAAAGAGTCCTGTGGCACCTTATAGACTAACAGACGTTTTGGAGCATGAGCTTTCCTGGGTGAATACCCACTTCTCATGCAGCCGACGAAGTGGGTATTCACCCACGAAAGCTCATGCTCCAAAACGTTTGTTAGTCAGTAAGGTGCCACAGGACTCTCTGCTGCTTTTACAGATCCAGACTAACACGGCTACCCCTCTGATACTTAAGCCCATTATGTATGTTTTATTTCTTTGTATAGATTTCTCTGTGACATAAATGGTTTATTTTTTTAATGTATTTATTTATTTAGGGCAATCTCAGTGAAACTATGGCAGTTTTATGGTACAGTTAGGTCAAATGTTAGATTTGGACAACTCAAAGACGCATAGAAGAGACCATTACGATTATCTGGTCTGAACTCCTGCATAACACAGGCCATAGAATTTCACCCTGTAATTTCTGCATCAAGCCGACAATGTCTGGATGACCTAGAGAATACCTCAAAATTATCCCTTGATTTCCACCATCTGTTCTACATACAGCACACGTGGTGGGGAGGACAAGCAGTGAAACATTTAACATTTTGAGGAATAGACTTTAATTTTCATCAAGTATTTTATAGCATACAGTGCTGCATGCCAAAATAGAAGAGCAACAGATATAATGCACATTTGGATATAGTATACCCTGTGGTTGTACAGCATGTGCACAGATATAATACTTTCTAGATCACTTTGGAGTGAAATTCAGGCTCATAGTCTGAGCACAAGACTGGGAACAGGAACTCCTGAAGTTTTTTGTTTTGTTTGTTTTGTTTTGTTTTTTATTAGAGCTGGTCAGAAAATTTCCAAATGTTAGAAATTAGTAAGCAAAATGGACAGAATTTCTAACTGCTCAACTCCTCCTATTTTGTTTTTCAATCAGTTCTAAGTGTGTTTGGAAAACATTGATGAAAAATGGATAAGAGGAAATTCATTGACATTTCCACCCCATTTTTGACCAGGTTTAGCTTTTACCTGGACTAAAGTAAATATTGATTCCTCTTGTGCCCTTGGACAAGTCCCCGCAGCTCTGATTCAGCAA